GCTATGAATCTTCAGAAGTATGCAACCAGTGCACGATAACGGATTAAAACAGATAGCAATGCATGTAGGCAACCTGAGTGTCAAGCTAATTTTCATCAGCTCTATAAAATGATTTTGAATGTACAGATTACTTCATTTAATGTATCATAAAAACCAATTTAGAATAACCAATGAGCATTTTATAAATCTATCTTCAAACAAATCTGTAGGGACGTGAGGTACATAATCGAATCGATTAATATACTTATTAGCTCCTGACACCCCCCCCCTTTTCTCGCATTTATAAACAACACTTGCAACAATGAAACAAAATGCCATTGCAGTGGAAAGATCAATATTTAAAACCAAAGAGTTCAAAGACTTTGAGTAATACAGGTACTTACGGGCATATAACGGGGGATAATCTGTAGGACTAATTTCTATTCTAAGGAGCTTAGAAATTATATCCATTACCAACACCTTGGTTAAAAATGGTGTGATAATTCTAAATCTACTCCATGGTCGCACACTTTTGTGGTCAACTTCGTACTTGGTTCACATTCTTTTATCAGCGATGTGAGCATTGCTTTGTCTTATTTTATATCGCAGTGAAAGTCTTAGCAAATTAAATCTAAAATTTACTTTCTCTGTATTGATTTGAGTTGATTAAAGGCTAGTGATTGTTGGTATTGTGCAAAACGACGACCTTGACATGTTTTTAAAGACCCGTGATAGGAACAAAAGCAAAGTAAATGTTCAACTTCTCCTAATTCGTTGCAAACTTAACTGCAAATTATTCGATACTTCTACTGGAAGTTACATAAGCTATCAAGTCTCTTAGAATTTTGAAAAGATTGCTTTATATTTATCTTCCATAGGTGATAATCATGAACAAGATCTCATTAATATTTCAAACTGGCCTCATGGTCTTTGAAGAATATTTCAAAATGTGCAAAGAAAAGAGATTTTTCATCTTATTATTTATATCTATTAAAACAAGTCTACTTTTCCATTAAAACTTGTAATACATAGAATAGAATGTTTAAAATGTTATTTTTTAAAATTCAATTAATCTATTAATAACATCAACAACAGAGATTAATTGTCATAGAGGAAAAACGATTGAAGTTTTATGGAATAATTTCTTTCAGTATGTTACAACATTTTCTACAACAACAATGGAGTCTTGCCCAGCAACATAACTCTTGACCCAGAATCCACAATCTGGTAAAATTGCAGCTTATTCATTACAACTTAGTTCTCGATTCAATTCTAAGATTTAAAAAAAATTAATGCATTTTTTCACTATATAATCTGATGTTTGGTGTCTCTACCAAACATCAGAACCCTCGACCCAGGTGCTAAGAATGCCAGTTTGGAAGACGTACCCATGCTCACAGCTCAGCATCATAAATTTAGTTTAATACCTGATAAATACCAATGAAAAAAGAAGATTCTCAAAGAATTACTAGTATTGCAATTTTAAAATATAAACAATAGAGCTCCACCCTTAGAAACCAAGCAAAACGACGTGGAACTCACGATTTTGAAATCAGTTTCATTGCTCAACAAACCCATGTACTGAGGATGTTTGTTATATATCAAGGGGCAGGGAAGAACATTCTCCAAACACGCATTTCACTATATAATCAACAGAGCCCCTCCTCAACCAGAATCCCTTACCCATGGACCATGGATTTCACACTTCTAGAAGAGGCATCTTCGTTTATCATGATCATGTGCTCAGTATGTCTTCCAGATGAAAAGGGACAAGAAGATTTTCAAAGAAATAATGTATTCTTACTTTATAATCAACACAGCCCCATCCTAACATTAAAACCTTGAACAGAGGCAATGATGTCCACAAAAGAGAAAAAGAATATATACAGTTTCACAGTATGATCAATAGAGCCTGATTCTAACGTTAGAATCCATGAACTTTTGATAGTAAACTCAGGTGACCTATTGCTGTTCGTTTTCGTCCGTCGTCGTTCATCGTGCGTTAACATTTGAACATTTTCAGCTTCTTCTCTGAAACCGCTGAACCAATTTCCACCAATTTTGGCCTATAGCATCTATGGGTGAAGGGGAACAAAACTGTGAATTTCTGGGTCCCTGCCCCCCTGGGACCTGGGAAGCGGGGCCAAAACCTCTCAGATTAGTGCAATCTTTAAAAATCTTCTTCTTTACTCCTAGACATCAAGCAGGCAAAGTGTTGGTATGATTGTAATCAACATTTAGTCCTCTACCAAAATTGTGAAATTTATGGCCCAATGTTCAGGGGTTCTAGTGCTCGGGCGGGGCTATATAGATTATATAGTGAAAATGCATTATTTCTTTGAAGTTTTTCTTTCATGCTCATAGCCATTAAATAGCATAACCATGTTCATAGTAAGTTGAATATGGCTGCCCTTTTCAAATTTGTGAATTTCATGACCCCAAGGCCAGGGGTTCTAGTGCTAGGGCGGGGCTATATATACTGAAAGGAAAAAGAAACGCAGGGTAGCATAATGTTCGAAAAAATTTTGACCACATGACCGAAAATTACGAAAATTGGTCAGAAGAGAAATTTAGTTACTTTGCACCAAAATCAGTTTTCAGAATTACTCAACCGTAAAATTTATGACGTCACGTATGGAAAACGCTAAAAAGTCCAAAACACGTGCAATTTGATGACGACGAGTTTGTCAACAAATCTTGTTGCATTATTTGATGCATTTGAGGTATGTACATCATTTTTCAATATTAAGAGGCATTATGAATTTCTTGCAATCTTGGCACAGTTTACGGAAGTTCAATGGGGTCTTGTTTTTGAATTGCCTAATTAATGAAAAAGGCAACGATGTTTTACTAAGCAGTTTGTTGTAAATTTTCCCCCATAAAACTCGTTAACCGTTGTCGGAGAGGGTCTGGAATGGTTTTCAATCAACCGTGACGATGACGTTAACGCGAAACAGAGCCATTTTACGAGCGGGTTATTCGTCCTGCCATTTCTTAAATCGCCACCTTACTAACACAAAAACAGCCATTTATACAGTAGACGATTATAATCATTACATTCAAACGAAATTTAGAAGAAAACAATTCCGCAATTTGGTTTTTTGAGCCAGTCAACTTACTGTTGTATTCCTCTCACTGGCGCATGCGCGCACCGTTTGACTTATTTTTTGGCGTGGTTACCCATGCCAAATATAGCCAGGGTTTGAATGATAAACACTCTGACGAAAGTCCATGCAAATGAGAAGTAAGGCTCTGACAGATGCATGGGAAAGACACTGAAGATAAAGAGAGTTTTTCATTTTCACTTTTGGTGGGTATCATTATTTGAGCTTCAATAACTCATGAGGTATTAGACAAAATTAAATGGGAATTTGATTATATCCTTTTGAAAGATGATTTTAAAAGTTAGATAGGAAAACTGATACATATTTTAAGAAAAACAAATTTAATTCACCTCAAAAGTTTACCCTGCGTTTCTTTTTCCTTTCAGTATAGATTATAAAGTAAAAATGCATAAATTCTTTGAAATTCCTATTCTCTGCTCATGGGCATTAAATAAACTAACCAAGTGCAAAGTTATGTTGAATAAGGCTGCCTCTTCCAAAATTGTGAATTTCATGGCCCCAGGGTCAGGGGTTCTAGTTTTAGGGCGGGGCTATATAGAATATATAATAAAAATGCATAAATTCTTTGAAATTCTTCTTCTCTGCTCATGGGCATTAAATAAACTAACCAAGTGCATAGTTATGTTGAATAAGGCTGCCTCTTCCAAAATTGTGAATTTCATGGCCCCAGGGTCAGGGGTTCTAGTTTTAGGGCGGGGCTATATAGAATAAATAGTGGAAATCCATAATTTCTTTGAAATTCAATCTTCTCTGCTCATGGGCATTTAATAAACTAACCAAGTGCATAGATAAGTTGAATGAGACTGTCTCTTCCAAAATTGTGAATTTCATGGCCCCAGGGAAAGGGATGTTTGTGCTAGGGCGGGGCTATATAGAATATATTTGGGAAAATGAATTATTTCTCTGAAAATCTTCTTTTCTGCGTTTGGGTATTAAACCAATGAACTATGTACATAGTTATGAGGAGAAAGGATGCCTCTTTGAGATTTATGAATTTCATGACCCGTGGGTCAGGGCCTCTTGTGTTGGGGAACTCTAATGTTTATATAATGAAAATGCATGAATTCTTTGAAAATCTTTTCCTTTTTGGATATTATGCCAATGATCTAAGTACATATTTATAAAGAAGAAAGCTGCCTCTTCCACAATGGTTAATTTCCGGGCCCCTGGGTCAGAGGAATTTGGAGGGGGAGGGCACACAGTCTGAATATAAATTAATGCTTTGAAATCTGCGCTTTAATATTAATCAACAATTTATGTTGAAATAAAATTCATGCTAAAATTTCCAAAATTTTGAAATATGTTGCCCCAGAGTCAGTGTTTCCTGTGGGGAGGGGTGCACAAGTGGTTACAAAGTGGAAGTGAATTTTCTCTTTGTTACTCTGATCTGCCTCTGGGTATTAAGTAACCAAAGTAAGCATGCCAAGTATGTGATTATGATTAGCAATGGTGCCTCTTTCAAAATTGTGAATTTCATGTCCTCAGATTTAAAACAGGAATCAAATTTAATTACGGGATTCTCAGGTAACCTATAAGGCCCGTGGGCCTCTTGTTGTACAATGTATATCATAATCAAACCTAAGTTTGCAAGCTTGGTGTCAAAGAGTAGCAATTTTTGACAATTGCATAAATTTGATGGTTTTGTCCGATCATCCGACCTTAGGGACGCAGACACCACGAAATTCACTATAAATATATATCTTCCTTTGCCCATAAATGTTGACAACAAAATGTAAAGAAATTGGTTCGAAAGTTTATGAGAAGCTGAAAATGATCAAAAGTTTACGACCACTGGACGACTCAGGTGACCTAGGAAAATCGGTTATCTTTATTTTTGTAAGAAGACATAACAACTTTGTTGAGCATTTAGAACCGTTTCTTCTTTATTTTCCCTTATAAAACAATCTACCCATAATGCTCTGCAAGATTTCAAAATTTCAGATATCTCGATATTAAAATAAGAAATCATGACTCCATAAACACATATGTCATTCTTAAATTACGGTAAAGAAAAAAAAACATTTAAATGTAAATAATCATTTTACTTCCATTAAAATAACAACAGTTTATTCGTAGAATGAAACTGGATCCAAAGGTACAATTAAATGATCATTTCTCTGATGAGCAAGAGAACAAATGGCGTTCATTTGGTATGAATCTAAAAAGTAAACAAAATACATGTAACATATATTAATGCGAATCTCAAAATGGTATTTAAAAATAAATAATATCCTCATATTATTTCAAAGAATAACGAATCATAAACTTTCTAAGTAAAACGAATGAAACAATAAGGATCATAAGGCGTTTGATTGGCACGTGTCGCAGGTTTCCACTTGAGCTTTACAGTTCCCATTGGGTTCAAAGTTAACCCGTAAAACGGGGTGTCCATTTTGTTCACATTTATTTTTCGTTTCCTGTCCAGCTAAATTGTCCTGAGTATCATACGGTTCGTCATCCCTCGGAACCGACCTGTATTTTTGGGAAAATTTCTTGAAAGCTTTAGAATTCATAAACACGTGTAGTTGATTTTCCTCGTTAATCTCGTGCTGATTCACTAAACTGTGCTGGCGTTCGTGCATGGTAGCACTTAATTTCCTTGATAATCTTGTCATTTCTTCCTTCGTGAAAAAACACTTACAGAAAATCTTCCAGAATTGATTCCGAAAACGCTTACCGAAGAAATAATATGGGACGATGTTTATAGCTGAATTTAGAATCACAAGAAAATTTGAGACTTCATTGAAGGTATACCAGGGCGCTGACACGAATGCCTTCTGATAGTCAAAGGCCCATATCATACGGGAAATAAGAGCAGGCCCCTGACAAATAAGAAAGATGACCACTACACCGATTAACATGATCGTCGTGTCATTCCGCCGCCTCTCTTTGGCGTTAATAAGCTTCCCTTTCTTCCTCGACTCGTGAACAGCATGGATGAGGAAGACATTTAAAACTAAAAGAGACAGAAACGGAATACCCGCCACACAAGTAAGATACAACCACGAGTGCACAATTTCTCGAAACTCCTCACTATTTCCCAAGTCTGTTAGTTTAATTACGAGCTGTCGTGGCTCCGTACTGTTTGTTTCGACAACTATTTCAGAAGTTTCGTATTCGAAAAAACGAATAATATTGAATACTAATCCTGCCAAGAATACACCCACAATAGTCTTTCTGGCAGTGGAAATTTTGCACCAACGCTCTGCCTTAAAGGGGTGGCAGATCATGACGTATCTATCAAGAGTGAAAGCACACGTAAGCCATATTGACGTCACTTGAAATGTAATGGCGGCAGGGTGAATGTATGGAAAGAGCTTGATGTAGAATGGTTTACCCCAGGTTATTTCCTGATGTGGTTTCTCAGAGTCACGTGATAAAATAAACATGGTAAGAATTAGAAATAGTAGATCACTTATGGATAAAGCAGTTAAATAGGAGTAGGTAGAACTCTTCATACATCCCCTGGATAGCACGATAATTGATAAAATGTTCCCGATAATACCGAACGAGCAAACGGCCATTCCACAAATCCCCATTAAATAATACATTAGAAGATTCCTCTCGTACATCGAGTCATCGTTTATAACATCCCTAACTGAGAGGTTCAAGCTTGATAAACTGAAGTTCACAAAAGACCCATTCAGGTCCAGCAGCTGGAGACCCAGGTAAGGGTCCAGAAAATTGAGATCATCCATTATTTAGGTCACCACTTCAGCCTACCGAGTTGTCCTTTGTTTTCCATTTTTAAAAGCTGGTGATGAAAGTCAGAAAAAGAAAAGATTATGTTATTCTCTCCACATTCGATGATCTGGCTCTATAAGCTTTTTTCTGTGTTTATATTTATGAACACTTCAAATAATCACATATTTCATAAAATGTGTAATGGAATCTGCATTCTGAATATCCCTTTTCTCTTCTTATAAAAATCATATCTGTAATAGAAAATGCAAAAAAGATAATCTACATGACCTTTCAAATCTCAATTTTAAGTTTGATATGTTGTTATTATTTATTTAAAAACATTAATATTGATTTTTTTGGTGACAAAAAAAATCTATACTTTCTCTTTTATGAAACGGGTATACCATGACCTAAACGGTCACCAGGATGCCATAAAATAATAATAATAGGGTGTTTCGGGGCATAATTTGTAGGTAAACACTATGAAAAATCATATCTTTACCTGTCATTTTCAAGAAAAATTTTTAGTAAGAAAACCAGTCATAATTATGAGATTTTTCTTCCATATCAGACGAAGAAAATGTTATGTATCCAGATTGCCTAGTCTTTCAGAAAACGGAAATCTGTATATTCTTGACCTCATCTTTAAAATAATGTCAAATTTAATATAGGTATCGGGACTAATTTTCATGTGATTTCAAATTGAATTCCATAAAAAAAACTTCTACATAATTCTATTTATGCCGTAAAGTAAGGGGAAAAGGAGCATGAAAGTGATTATGATTTCATAATGAATCTGGCACCAAAAACTTAGTCTAAAGACATTTACTAAATCTTGACCTTAAACTCCAGAAACCCTGGACCAGGGAGCCATGAAATTCAATATCTTGGAAGACGTGTCCTTGTTCTTCAGAACCCTATTATTAGTTTTTCTTCCATAAACATGTACCAAGGGACAGAGAAAGAGATTTTCAAAGAAAAAAATGCAAGTCATCCCTGCTTATCATAACCATACTCTTAGCACATATGCTTAATACACAGTTCATGTAGCAGTGAAGTAACGATATATGCACTTTTTGTTTTTACGAAATAATCGATAGAGTTTCGACCTGACACCAGAACCCTTGAACTCCATATCTTTAAAGAGGCACTCAAACTTAATGAAATCACGCATGCATTTGCTTTTTATACCTATAAACAAGGGGTAAAAAGAAGATAAAATCAGGCATCCTTTTTATATTATCAATACAGCCCCATTCTAGCTCCAGAACCCCCGACCCTGGGACCAAGAAATTCACTATTTTAATAAAAAAAAATTATTTATGTCAAAAAGAAAAGTTTTTTTTTAAACTTCCACTAATTTTGATGGTTTTTTGCCCCGCCTATTAAACCCAAGGGAGTACGAAATTCACACTTATTTGCTTACCCTTTGCCAATTGACGTTTTTTTTAATTTTGTTTTTATCAAAAAAGGGTTAAATTGGGTGAATTACTGCAAGCATACAACTTCATATCATAAATAGATCAAATTGTACATAACATATTACGATTAAAATACGGAAAATTCAATAAATACAACATGAACGTAATCTGTTATCTGTGGGTGCACTGAACATCGGATACAAATCTCTCCTCTTTGATTAGAGTTATCCTAAAATATGTAGGATCGTCGTTAAGGCAAGGCGATGTGATAAAATCTATACTGAAGATTGTATTGGTATTTTCTCTTGAAAAAAATCAGTTGTCGATTTGAAATAATACGATAAAGATCTCCCTAAGAAGGAAGGAACCAAATTAAAATCGTTTCAGACATGCACGATACTTTTTAAAAATAATCTGTGAGATTAAAAAAACACGCCAACGAAATAAGATATATTTATCTAACTAGTTTGCAAGTTAAAAAAGAATTCCGATATATTGATGTATAATGAATAAAATCTAATTAATTTTCACTTTACACCGTACACTGTAAGCTCATCAAGATTTTTCATTCAGTAATTAATTTTGTTCGCTAGTGATTTGAGTCTGTTGGAATTAAGAAAACTCTTTGTAGAAGCTTTAAATGACATTAAAAAGCGTGAGTATCATTTGTTACAATTTGTCAATAGTTATTTACTCACACATAAATAATTTTTAAATAAATCTCTAAAACAATACTGTCCTCTACAAAAATTTGAATTTTTCAATTAAAATTTGTATATGACAATTAATTGTCATATACAAATTTTAATTGTAAAATTCAAATTTTTGTAGAGGACAATACCTGTGACACCGTATTTGTCAATTATATAATGTAATCTACATAACGAGTTCTGTAATGAAACAATTGAGAGTATAATGAACATCCTAAAATACAGGGTTTTAGGGCTTGAAGATTCTTATTTCCCCACTTTTCCCCCGCCTAATCATCTCAAAACAAAATTTAGTAACAAAATGTATTACAAAATTTTCAATTCAAAAAATTTCAAACTGACGTACATGGCAAATCATTTTCCCTCTCAGTGTATATAAAAGTGACGCACTTTCAACGAACTAAAAACCAGATAAATTTTAACAAAAAAGATGATATATTTGGTAAATCAGAGACAAATTAGGTCACTTAAAAACCTCTCTAAGAATAGCCCAATCAGCAGGGACGCAGCTGAAGAACAAATTATCTCAACTCGTTACGGCGACACAAACAATACGAGGAAGGAAAACTTGGCTATACAAACTACCGGTCAAGTCTATTACAGATAACTAAATCAAGATATATTTTCGGCCAGAAATCAGTGATGAAATGGACCTAATGGTTGGAATTTGGATCGCAATGATAAACACAGAATATAGGGTCTTAAGTGATGTGCAATTTTCTAAAGAGACGAGGAGGAACGACGGCTTTCATTATTACAAATAAAGAACGTGTTTCCGAAGTAAAGCAATCTTATTTCCAAAGAAATATCAGATCTTGGGTAAAAAAAAGAATAAGTACCAAAGAATAAGTACAGCGATGAGAGAAATAAGCATGAAGAAAAAAAATCATGAAAAAATATAGCTAAGTCTGTGAGATTGATTTTTAAAAATACATTCATATGTAACTTTGTCCTATTTGATATAGCATCTTTTTTTTTTACCATTCAAAAATTTTCAAAAGTTACCAAAATAACATATTTAATAAAGCATTGCAGAAGATTCAATGTGAAAAAAAAAGAACAACCTTAAAAAATCCTGAACAAAAATTGCTATTTTTCTGTTATGAGATATCAAGATATTTATAAAGACAACTTTACCTTATTGAGTAACATCCACTATATAGTGACTTTGAATTTCATTTTAATGCACCTTCTTCTATCCCTCTATCGTTCAGTCCTGCCACTAGCCCACCAGGTGTGCGGTGTTAGTTGGCTAATCCTCGACCAACTCAGCTTTTGTAATTTGGGCTCTATTCTTTTCAACAAATCTCTGTTTTCAGCAATTGGGGCGGCTAGGTTAAAGTCTCTAACTGTTTCTAAAAATAAATGAATCCTTCAATACTCTTATGGAATAAAAACTCTAAATAAAGAATAAGTGGAAATATTACCTGATACCCAATAATTCAACTTAATACAATACATAGATAAACAAGCAATGAAGTTTTTGCAAAACCAAGAAAAAGTTTTTAACAACAACATAAAAAAAACCCAACCCAAACCAAAAAACAAACAAACAAACAAAAAAAAAAAAACAAAAAAAAAAAACAAAAAAAAAAAAAAAAAACAAACAAACACTGCAAAACAAAAAACTTTAAAACTGTGACTATTTCATTATATTACTGATATCGCATATGGCATTATAATACAACCAAATTTCAGGAATTTATTTTATTCTGAGACATAGATAACACTAGTTATAGGAGGCACCACAAGAAATATTGGTAAGGGAAAAAGTAAATTTATTTGATTATCTGAAAACAAAATAACAGGTTAATAAGTAAAATAGTTGGCATTTGGCATTTACTGTTATGAATCCCTTACTTTGGGCAAAAAGTGCAATTAGGTAGTTAATCTGGTTTATATTTTATTCTAAGGACAAATTAAAAATCGATTGTAATTTTGAACCACTTTTAAATATCAAATCGAGAGAACTGATAAAATATAAATTCATTTTATCGTGCACACCAACGTAATCTTCTTAGAGTCTTAGTACTGCTCTAAAAGCGAGGTGTGAAGGACTCTCCCATTTTTGGAAGAAATCAGATTGCGAACCTTATTCAACAATAGCGGGCTTATCACAGGTGTGAAATGTTATGTTACTTTCATAAACTGCTTATATTCTTTTTTTTGACATGCCTTCAGAGCAGGTAATTTGGACCAGCATTCAAAATTGGAGGGTTAAGGATTTTGGTTCTGTGTTAAACTCTGACAACAAAAACAGGAATTGTAAGAAATAATAAAAAAAATTGCCCATGTAAAACTCATTTGAGCTTAAGCCAAAGGGAAACTGAAAAAAATTCAAATAAAAAATACAAATGTCAGTAATGCACATAATAAATATTTTTATGTGCACGGAAGTTCCAGAGGTGGGATCAGGTGCCTAGGAGGAGTAAACATCCCCTGTTGACAGATCACACCCACCATAAGCCCCACGTATTGAACTATCCGTAGTCAATTTCGTTTAAAAAAAAAAAACAAAGGCTTAGCATTGGTGTTAAACAAGTCAGCGAAAATACGACCCAACATGATAAGTTATCTGTTTCGCTTAAAAAAAATGATCATACTCATAGTAAGCTCTTAAGTAGCAGATAAGCTGGGAGACATAAACGAAACTAAGAGGTAAAAGTGAAATATTTCTACATAAATAAGGAAACTTCAAAGTTGACGATGGAAACGCTGAAGTCATCTTGTTTGTCGGGTGTGGCCGGTCGCCAGGGGATGCTCACTCCTCCATGGCACCTGATCCCACCTCTGATGCTTTGGAGGTCCGTGTTTGCTCTGCTCCTACTTTGTATTGTTTTATGGACTTTTGATCTTGAATACTGTTCGTTTTCTTCATATGTTTCATTATAAAATTTAGCTGTCTATTAGCCTTTGTCTTCTATAGTAAGTAAAACATCTAAATATGAAACAGATGTATCATACTATGTGGAGTCTTTTATTTCAAGTTCACTGATATACATATATCGAGCTGACATTCGAATGAAAGTAGCTGATGTTTATTGATAAACCATCATTGATATATCTGAATGTCGAATTGAAGGCCACGGCTAGTGTTTTCCTTTTCTCGTGTAGAGGTATGTAAATAAATTCAGCTTCACTGGAACATTAAAGTAGGTCAGCTAATAAAGAGGATTAGCTAACAAACACAATTAGTGCCCATCGCAATTCCAACAGTTTCCGAAGACTACATAAATGTTGTCAATGAGGGACTCCAACGAGGAACTTTTAACACAACTTCAGAGTACCTGTGGGTCCTACCAGAGTAGTTTTCAACGAAGTAAAATGATAAATCACATTTTGAAAATGTTCATTTTTATTTAAGAAGCAGTTGTTTATGATATCAAAACGGCTAGATTTTAATTCATCGTGAGAAATTGTTGTATAAAATGTAGAAGTCAAACGTTTTGATGTTATAGACTTTTGAGTAATGCTGTGATAAAGTTTCTAAAAGGTCTTTATAGTTTTTGATGATCCACATCTGATTTACACCACTTCTATAATCAACTGTAGCACAAAATGCCTGGAGTTTCTCTTTTACACTATTTCATATTTTGTAAAGATAAAGTTATTACGTTTTTGCGTTGGACTTGCTAAATTATATTTCCCGCAATTTCAAAAATGTTGACATTGCTCACTCCTTCATGGTACCTGATCCCAACTCTAATGTTTTGTAGGTTCGTGCTTGCTTTTCTCCGTTTTTGTATTAATCAATGGACTTTTGAGCGTGAATACTGTTCGTTATCTCCATATATTTAATGGTATTGAAGTTATAACTATAGTTTAAAACACATTAGTAAAATGAATTACATGTATTACATCTTGAATAAATACATTCTGTTGGAATGCATCGCCAAAGGTAGAGAAGAGAAAAATTTTACAACACAGAAAGATGCGTTTTTGTATTTTGCGTCATTGCATTTCATTTTTGAGCAAAATTGTTAAAATGTGGTATGCTATTACATTTGTACGTTATCACATTTAAGGAATTTAAGCTAATTTAACCTATGTTATACGATATAACATAACTTGGGGCAGTTCACGCTTTACAAACCGCAAAACGGTTTATTAAAAAGCGTTAACTGACATAAATTATGTTATATCGTGTAACATAGGTTAAAATAAGCTTCATTCCTTATAATTTAATTTCAGTCTTGACAATAACATAATTTTCCCCTCCAAAAATGGCTTGAGAATTTTAAAAGTATTGTCAAGGAGAGTAACACAATTTTGACGTCACTCATTAAGTCTTAGGGAACTTATACGAACTATAAAATAAATCTTTTATCCAATCAAATGACGTTACAACTAAAATAAAATCATTCTACTTTAACTTCGACACCCCAAAATAACACAAAATGTTATATACACAACTTACTTCATTTTTTTTCTGTTATTACATTTTTTTACTTTAACGATGCCTCTTGCACTCGTATCTAAAGAAATTAAATTAAGAGTTTAAGACTTGATTATAAATTTTACTGCACAAGCAAATGGCAACACTGCGTTCAACGATCGCAGGCATTTGGCCGTGGACCGATCCAAGATCCTAATTGCCATCTTATGCGTTCATGTGGCAAGCAAACAAGGGTGAAATTCAATAGAAAACGTCACTGACATTTATAATCCTTTCTTTCATGCAAGTTCTAAAATTGGATATAAATATTTTATAATTGCAATTAAAGCTTTAAAAACTCCGAGAGAGCCATCAACTTTGATCGGATAAAGGATTTTAATATTCAGGTGTTCCCTCCCATATCTAAGATACATCATTAAGAGGGAAAGTATTTATAACTACTAATTTAATATCACTGTGTAGAAAACTTTTCACAAAGAAAGTTTAAAATTTTTCAAAAATGTAAAACATGTACAGTGAAACCACTATTTTTCATGTGGGATTAATTTTCGTTGTTTTCGAGGTGTGAAGAGACCCACGAATTCTTGACCAGCATGGAATGTAAAAGTTTACGTATATAAATACTAAACAGATCTTCACGCACGAAATCAAATCCCAACAAACCAACATTTTTTCCTCAAACCACGAAAATTTTACCCCTCGAAAATATGTGATTTTACAGTAGTTCTGAACCAATTTTCTTGTAGTCAATATGCATAAACAATCCAAAAAATTTAAAATCGTGAGTGAGAGAGATCGAAATCGAGAGAGATCCCCATATAAGGAAATACAGTTTAACACTACAGTGTGTAGAAAATGGTCAAACAAAAAGAATGAATGATGTTGGTTACTATTTGACCTACTGTAACATCGAATTTGCTGACAAGGTCATCTTATTTACCAAAGAATATGCAAAATTATAGACATTCAACGAGACTGTTGGTGCCTCTCTTTTTGAAATTCATTGTACATAAAGCATGCTCTTGCGTATCAAAAAAATACTAGTGTGTATTTTAATCATTAAAATTTTTACTATGTCATCAATGACCTCAGCAAACATTTCATTTCTTTGGAAAGTTGCAATGAAACATAAGGAGATAACGAACCGTATGCAAGATAACAAATCCTTGATGTAAATAAAATAGCAAATCCATGATGTAAATAAAATAGCAATGTTTATAAGAAACCAGAAGTCACTGTCGAGACTGTAGCTCTACTGGTTTGTAAAGGATGCTTGCCATCCAAGTTATCATGTTAAAGGAATTTCACAGACATTTCTATTTTTAGTAGCAATGGTAACACTGTATATCGAAAAAAAACAGATATACCTTGTGTAGTCTACTTGTGTGCCTAATATTGAAATTTATTTCACAGAAAATTTTTTTTAGTAATAACCATGGCAACACCGTTATCAAAATCAAAATCCAATGCACTATTTTATGTATCTTAGAATCTTGTGCCAATGATATAGGACCTTTTAAAGGAATTTCAAAAAATTCTGTTTTTGGCACCATGGCAACACCGCATAATTTAATTTATGTATAAATCTGTGTGCCAAGTTATATTAAAATCAGAGAGAATATAAAAATTGTTTACAGACAGAAAGAGAAAGGCAAACGCACATCATGAATGAATCTTTGATATAGGACGTGAACAAGGCATGCATAATTTATGAAATAAATCTGGTTTTAATAGAGGATATAAAAAAGAAAGGAAACGCACATCTCTAAGGAGATGATGGAATAAAAGTAAAGTTTTACTTCGACTCAAGTTTATTCACATCAAAATGACATTTTTTTTCTTCACAGGTTAGACAAAAAGGAGCAAGGTGTCCAAATACTTGAATTTTGAAACCATTATTCATAATTTTTTTTCAAAATGTCAGTCTGTAGAAGGTTTATTAAAAAGGTAAAATTAAAA